TAGAAAGTATATTTATATGTAAAACCTACTTGATCAAAAAAATTGCAATCTAGATAGTGATTTTTACCAGTTTCTCATGCTTACTTTGATAAATTAAGTAGTAAATATCTTAGAGGAGAATTTTTTGAAACCAAAGTGTAGGTGAACAATTGCAATAACAAAGACCTTCTTGTACATTTTTAATCAAAATAATGTTGATCACTAGGGTCAATCAATGAAATTCAAGAAGTGATAGTTATTTCCTCATCAATCGCAGAAAAATGAGATAATTTCTAGAAATCTTCATATGCATTGAAGTCATGAATGAATCGTTGTTCGACCACCATTTGAAAGCTGAAAGCATTTGAAAGCCGTTTAGTCGTGGTATGGGACTCATCAACAGTGCGCATCTAGGACTTTGCTACTTGCAGGACTTAAACTCAGGACCTTCGATCTTGCGCGTGAACGCTTAACCTCTGGACTACTAAACCGGACAACATCCAATAGTGTTAATGTCTAAGTCTAATCAATCTGAGGATTTTGCGTAGCTTCACCCATTGTCTTCGATAGTTTCTACCCACACGCAACATGTTTTAACTCTACTGGTCATGTCTTCTCACTAGAACTCTGAGAATTTCTTCACCAAGCTAGTCACTAGTGAGCATGTACCAGGACGAAGCCGCCGTAATGTACTTCCAGACTTTTAATGGTTTCAATGTAAAACAACGATCAGCTGGATAATGATTGATAACCTGGGAACATAAAAGAATTATCTTAGAATTCTTACAAACAATTTACTTTTCCTATCTTAGATTGAATCTATGGCTTTCAGCTTTGGAAATGATCATAGTGATATGCGCGTCAATTGATATGCTTGAACTACTAAGCGTTCACCTAGTCGGAAAACGAGAGCGAGGATCGGAGATCGGGCAACACGACATGCTACTCTAATCCGAATGTCCCAAACCCCCATTGAGTGAAAGAAGAAGACTTGATATGAAGTAGAATATGTATTCTACAAGCATCCAGAGAGTACGAAGTCCGAGTCCAGAAGAGGATAAGGATCCCGGACTGAGGATCCGGGTCCGGGTCCGAGTTCGGCTCATAAAACGTTACACACAATGCGTATTTATACAGTTAGGCCGAATAGGAAACAACATTGAAGTCTGTGACATTGACAGTTAGGACGACCAATAGGAATTGACCAATAAAATTGGACTTACAAACAAATTACCTTAGGATATTGGCCGAATATCCTAACAGAACTGAAGGTCATCTGGCGCGAAAACATGGCGATTCAAAAGTTCAGAATAAAATTACAAACGTAGGACCTTTCCAAGCGAATTCTGGGGGGTCAACTTCTCCAACAGGAATCTTCTTCGACACTATAGTGCACCTCAGAAAACTGTCATCATTATAACGAATTCTCATAACGGACTACACTGCGACAACGTGTACACAGGGTAGCTTATGGATGCATTACAAAGCTGATTAATCTTGTTCTTTTTCATTCTTCTAAGTGTTGATTGAATTATGAACACCTCCACATCTCAGGAAAAAAATACACTGAACACGTTGGACACAGATAGACGATTCGGACGTGTACTACTACAACCGCTATGCATATATATATCGTTGTAGAATCATCATGATAAAATGAAGTGCAAAGAAACCTCTCTAATCTCTATTCAGCTTTTTTTTAATATCTAAATGGGAGCAATTTTCGATATGCCAGCTTTCTGGAAAGAGAACGGCTGTATAAGTTACAATAATAGTTTTTTGTAAATCTTCTTGTTATAATCCTGTCTTAATTACGACCAAGCTATTCCCAAATGACGGTATTTGTAGAGCTACTCATGACCTGAAAGATTTGGGAAACATACTAAATGTCGTAGAGGTATGGCTAAATATCTAATCAGTATGATGGTATGTGATCCAGAATTTTCTAGATGTTTCTGCAAAGGTTCTATTCACTGAATTTCTAGGTCTCTTTAGACTTTTCTGAAGGATATTTCGAAGCTCACTAACACGTAGGGATAAAAAAACTTGAATATCAGCTGATTTTGACTTAAAGTAAACACGAAGTTATAGCGAATAGACTGAAACTACTACAATTACCAGCAGACTTCTCTGTTAGTTCTGCATACAAATTTCTTAAGTTGTAATGATAAGCCGTGACCAATGGAATAAAACCGGTCGGATGAGGCACCTATTCACCAAAGATAATAATAAACGGTTACATAGTATCGTGAATTGACCGAAGTTAGACATTAGCATTGTTGGATACCAACTCAGTGGTCTCTATTTTAAGTGTTCGCGTGTGAGACCGAAGGTCCTGGGTTTGGTTCCCGCATATTATAATGATCACTGCTAAGTAGTCCCATACTGGAACGAAAGGGCCAACCAGTGCCTCTAGATATTCACCAGTGGTGGTCTAACGTAGATCGATTTATGATTTCTACCAGCGCTTACAAAATTAACACGTTTAGTCTCTCACACTACCATAGTTAAACCGCTTTGTAATTCCCATACCTAACGACCAGAAATAACTAGTCCGCTCTAATATTTCATAACTATTAATGAGTTGATATAATATTTATTTTACTCTTTTCATCTTGCTCACCTTATTTATGATCGTCGAGTAAACAAGAATATTTTATGCATCGAACATAGACATCTTATGATTTTTCATTGAACGTCTCAATATTTATATACAAATAATCCTAAATTCAAAAGTTTACTTATTTAGAATATATTCATCTTAGAAGTAACTACTCCCAATGGTTATATATCTGACTGTACATTGGTAGAAACTAAAGATTTGACGGAATCTTCAGCCAGCGTTCATTTATTCTTGGCATTATGAGTTTGCCTACTTTAATCATTTGTCAGTAGTTAAGATAAATTGTTAGCAATTATTTTCGATTTCAATGGAAAAGTGAAATTAACATTACTACACACAAAAAGATCCAAAAGAAGCTTATTGGGTAATCGGATCTAATTAGGTCGAAGAACAAGATTGAAATCGAACATTCAGGTTAGGTAGTCTAGGAGTCTTCACCATTTCGAATAAGTCTGTTAAACATCAGGATTCTTAGTATTTAACGACCGATTTTTGCGTTATGGATAATGGTGGTTAGTTAATACCCTTCGACAATATACCCTATCCACCTGAAGCGGATTTTCCGAACTTAGATAGTAATTAGTTTGTTTTCCTATCACAACAGGTTGTTGCTGATGCTTTTTAATCAACGGATCAGGAGTATCTTGCATGCCCGATCACCGACTGCCTCGACGAGCTTTGTTTTGTGGTGTAGGAATAGGTTGGAAGAAATCTCGGGGCGGCGAGACCAAAACATGACAGAAATTCATGAAGTCACTGACAAGTGGACTGAGTCATGTCGGTAGATGTAGACTACGTGGTTGGAGTGCGCGAGACGATAGTTACCGATGGTTAGAGACCTTAAATGACATAGCTCAAAATTGTTTGCAATCGCGCAAGTGCATCCACCCGTTGTGTTCTCTCAAATCCTAATCTTCTGGATTCATCAACACCTCTAATTTTGTCTTTCTAACCTTATCTCACTGAATTATACTTCTTGAATAATATCTTCAAACTCTAATCTTCTCTATTACCATTAATACTCGTACTATCTCTACCACTATGGGATTTAAATTGACAATTACATCTCTCTGTGCTAATATGGTTTGGCAACCTGAATCAATGTACTTACGCACGAAATTCTACGTTACATCTGACTCTAACTGATTATCTTGTATAGACAGTGTGGTTTCTATTGCATACACATACATATACCTTGATAAATCCGAGTAATTCTTGTATTCATTCATCACATACATAACTACAGTTTGACTAGTACAATTTCTATACGGAATCAAAACAATGAACAGCTGATATTCATATACATATACATATATATATGAACAATCACAATAAAATCAATAGTATACTTGTAACAACATCAACAACAGCAACAATGACATGAATAATTCCAAATCAATTCATCATATCTTTCTTTCAATATCACATGACACAATGATTATCACATAAAGCTCAAAGATATAATAATAATAAATGGGGAAAAACAACCCACAAACACACACACACACAGAAGAAGACAAACAAATCATTCTCAACAATAATCTACAAATTGGATATTGTCAAATGAAGGGAGGGGGCGAGGGGCGGGAGATAAATAAACACACAAAGTTCAACATTGTAATTGTTTATCTACTGCGCAAACATTGAATATCATGAGATATGATTGTTTGATTTAAGGAGAGAGGTCCAACTGTGTGTGTGTGTGTGTGGAGGGTGGGAGGTATTTCCTCTTAGAAGGAAATATGATCAAAACAAAATTGCCTATTACAATCAGACGACTCATTGATACAGAAAACAAATAAGCATGAAGGTGATATCATTATGTACACAACACACAAAAATGTATGCCCTATTCAATAACTAATTCAATGTTCAATGATTTGTTGTAAAAATAAAAAGAAGAAATGTGCATTGTTTTGTGTATCTTTTATTCGGACTAAGGGGGGGACAATGGAAGAAAAATTTGTTAAATTATGAAGAGATGACACAAAACAATGGTCACATCATACGTACACACACACGCACACACACACACTGATTACATATAGTAATGTAGTAAGTGATTAAAAAATATCATGCTTACAGAAAATAATAATCACAATAATGAAAGTCATAATAAGTTGATGTATGATGTGATTACATAAGTTGATTAGACAATGAAACAGGTACAACAAACAACAAGACCATTGGATATGATCAAAAAAGTATGTATATAGGGGGGCACGGGTCAACACGCACACACACGAGCAACACGAGTACGTAGATATACATGTTTAGTTAGATAAGTACACACATACACACACACAATAAACACACCACAAGAAACAAAAACTGAATATCTAGGGGTGTGGTCTTGATAATTATCGTCATAATTTCTTCAAATGATCAATGAATGAGATTAGAATGGAGGCGGTGGCATCGGTGGAGCTGGTACGGTTGATGGAATATCAGTTCGATCAGTACGATTATCATTAAATGTACTACTATCAACTTGATATGAATCCGTCGTTTCATCATCGCCATAATCATCTTTAGGATTACGCTGTGTAGTAAATGGTTAAAAAGGGTTTAAATATATATATTTATAAATAATTTTTCTTTTAAAAATCAAAATCTATCAATAATGTTGGTTGAAATAGTAATGATAGTCGTAGGACACTTAACTCCATATTTGAAATCATCAATCAATCATTGTTAGACCAACACCAATAGAAACCTGGAAGCACTGAAAGATGGCCGTTTCGTCCTGGTATTGAACTCATCAGCAGTGCGCAGCCACGGCTCCTGCATCTTGCAGGATTTGAACCCGGAACCTTCGGTATTGTGCGCGAATGCCCAAACTCTGGACCACTGAGCCTGCCGCATCCAACGGTGTTAATGTCTAACTTTTATTGATCAAAGAATTTTGCGCGATCTCACCCATTTGTCTTTGGTAGTTACTGCCTACACCCAACAGAGTTGAACTCCATTGGTCACGTCTTCTCACTAGAACAAATGGGTGAGGAGGCGCAAAAATCCGTAGATCAATCAGAGTTAGACATTAACACCACTGGATGCCGCCAGCACAGTGGTCCCAGAGGTTAGGCGTTCGCGCACAATACCGAAGGTCGTGGGTTTGAATCCTGCGAGGTGCAGGAGTTGTGGATGCGCACTGCTGATAAGTCCCATACCGAGACGAAACAGCCGACTTTCAGTGCTTCCAGGTTTCTTTTAATGGTGGTCTAACAATGAATGATTGATGATTTCAAATGTATAAAAACACAAATCTCCAAGGCTCTTACTGAAAACAGTTAACTCCGCCTGGAGCTCTTCTAGGACGACTGAGGAGGGTCGGGCAGGAGGTTGGTGACCTCATGAAGTAGAAATTCGAACCGCTGAAAAAAAACACTAACCATAAAAATAGTTCGCTGGTCAGAGGCCCATGCTCCATCATCGGTAATAGGAGTAAGTATGTAAGTGTATGGCAGTTGAATTACTGTAATAGGAAACGATCTAACCTAGTCAAAAAAGCGCCTTTTCTTTAACTTATTTACAAAATTACAGTTCATGGTGATGCATTTATCAAACTCTTTTAAAAAATACTTCGCTGTGTTTCAAAATTATTTTATGAAAATGAAACATTGAGTTGAACTTCTTAAGGTGTAGACAAAATAACTTTTATGAATCTCTCAAACATGTGAGTATCTTGTATTCACCACTCTAATCTGATCATTGACTCAATGACCAAAAAGATGACTTTTATTTGACTTAAAAACATTTATTATAAATATGTGTATAGAAGTAAATATTATATTTTTTGAAAGAAAGATTGTTATCGACTATGTCAGATGAGATTATTGACAATTCAGTTATATTAATTAGGAGTGCGCATCCACGACTGCTGCCACTGGCAAGATATGAACCTAGGATATTCGGTTTTGAGCCTAGATGCCTAACTTCTGGACCACTGAGTCGGCTAATGGGTCCCGTACCAGGAAGGAACGGCCGTCCAGTGCTTCCAGGTTTCTAATGGTGGTCTGACATTGGTCGATTCACTATTTCAAAAAGTAAATCGATAAGATCTACAACCCTATCATACAAACTCAATTGCAGTTTATGAACTGTTAGGAAAAGGGTATTAGGTAAGGATGGCAGATCAATAGATTAAGTAGTAAAACTACCTGGTTGGGGTCCGCGAAATGATAGTAACCGATGGTTAGTGACCTTAAATGACATGGCTCAAAATCGTTTGTAATGGCGCAGGTGCGTCCTTTTGTGCGTTCTCTCAAATTCAAATTTTCTGAATTCCTCATGACCTATATCTTTCGCTTTCTAAATTGATTCTGTTTGGATATACTTCTCGAATGATAACTTGGATCACCAATCTTTTTCAATATCGTTCATATTTCAACTACCTCTACTACCATGGGATTTAACTTGACAATTCAATCTCTGTGTGATAATACGGTATGGTAACTTGAACTGCTGTACGCTGTAGCTGACTGACTGAAATTAATATATATTTGTACAGAAGACATCGAAATAGTGTTATTATTATTATTACTACTATTCCAGTAAAACCAATCTGTGATCAACTAGCGAAATTTCCATGTAAAGTTACAAATATTTTCATATTATAAATTAGATAATTTTACAGTTATTATAAATCCAGTCAATCAACTACAACATAGAACTTGGTATGTACGTACATCAGTTCAAGTTTGCTATATTACAACAATCAGCACAGTTCTTATACACTCACTACTCAACTTAATTCAAATCTCTTATGCTAATATACATATATATATGCCGGCTCAGTAGTCCGGAGGTTAAACGTTCGCCGCAAGTTCAGTGCCTGCGAGTAGTAGGAGTCGTTGATGAGCCCTACTGATGAATCTCATTCTAAGACAAAACGGCCTTCCACTAATTTCAGGTTTCTTCTAATGGTGATCTAACAATTACTCATTCAAGTAGGGAGGTTTGTACATTTCTTTATGCATAACATTTACTCTTTTTTTCTCAAGGATGTTAGTTGATTATACACAAATCCAAAATACATGGGATTTGAGTTTTAGAGTCTCAGATTTATATATATATATATATATATATATATTCTTATGATGGATTCAACTGCAAAATCGTACACGAAGGACAGCTAACAGACTCTTTCAAGGTGAAGACCGGTGTCAGACAAGGTTGCTTACTCTCACCCTTTCTCTTTCTCCTGATGATCGACTGGATTATGAAGATGTCAGCATCTGGAGGGAAGCACGGTATTCAGTGGACAGCTAGGACGCAGCTGGACGATCTGGACTTCGCAAATGATCTGACTCTTCTATCGCACACGAAATAACAAATGCAAGAGAAGACGGTCAGCGTAGCAACAGCCTCTGCAGCAGAAGGTCTCAACACACATAAAGGAAAAAGCGAAATTCTCCGATTCAACACAACATGCACCAACCAAATTACTCTTGATGGAGATGCCTTGGAGGACTTCAACACCTTTACATATCTGGGCAGCATCATCGACAATCAAGGTGGATCCGATGTAGATGTGAGGGCGCGGATCGGCAAAGCAAGGGCTGCATTTCTACAACTGAAAAACATTTCTGGAACTCCAAACAACTTTCAACCAAAATCAAAATCAGGATTTTCAATACAAATGTCAAGACAGTTCTACTGCATGGAGCGGAAACATGGAGAACTACCAAAGCCACCATCCAGAAGATACAAGTGTTCAATGACAGTCGTCTACGCAAAATACTTCTGATTCGTTGACCAGACACGATCAGCAACAACCTACTGTGGGGAGAACAAACCAGATTCCGGAGGAGGAGGAAATCAGGAAGAAGCGGTGGAAGTGGATAGGACACATATTACGAAAAGCACCGAAATGCGTTACAAGACAAGCCCTTTCTTGGAACCCTCAAGGTCAAAGAAAAAGAGGAAGGCCAAGGAACACATTACACCGAGAAATAGAGAAAGATATGAGAGGAACGAAGAAACATTGGACGGAATTGGAGAGGGAAGCCCAGGACAGAGTTGGTTGGAGAAAACTGGTGGGCGGCCTATGCTCCATTGGGGGTAACAGGTGTAAGTAAGTAAGTAACATAGTATATTATTTAGATATAGGGATTTACTTCATTGAAAGTAAAGCAAAAAGGTCTATCACAATTGCAGTCAATGTTCAATAATCATCATAGAGAATTGTAGAAAAATCTAAAAGATACTTATCTACTACTACTAATACTACTACATATTACGAGAATAACAAAAATTATTGATTTTGGAGAGCTAAATAAATAAAAGAGATTAGTTAACATTAGATACATTTCTATTATGCATATGCAATGACGATGAATAAACCAAACAGAATATACTGGGTTTTTTTCAATTAGAGTTATGGGGATTAATGTTTGTTGGACATTGAAATCACCAATCAATCAATCAATCAATCATTGTTAGATCACCATTAGAACAAACCTGGAAGTACTAAAAGACGACCGTTTCGTCTCGGTATGGTACTCATCAGTGGCAGTGCCCATCCACGACTCCTGCACCTTACAGGATTCGAACCCAGGATTTTCGGTATTGTAAGCGAACGCGTAACCTCCGGAATATGCTGTAGTTTATTATTGCCACTTCTAAGTAATACAATGTATATTTGTTTTGTTTTGTTTAAGAAAAAAAGCCCACTTCAATTAAATTTAATGATTCGAAATAAATGAATTCATTATCAAGTGAACATTGTTAATGTTATTCGAAATAATCAATTGATTAGCTATATCCTTATTATCTTGTAATTTTTACAAGGATTTTTTTTTATTTTGCAAACAGACAAATAACTCCCACTGGAGCATTTACTAGGACTACTACCGGGTCCCTAGCCCGGATAAAAAAGGAGAGTTGAGTATGGAATTTGCCACCCGTTTATTATTTGACCATTTTTTTTTACTAGTGTGTGCATGTGTATGTGTATATTTCCAATCTGTTTGGGACGTTAGATCCTCAGATCTTGCTTGATAAATGCCTTAATTTTGGATTTCATGTTTGCGAGCATGGGCTGATCAGTTGAACTTGAGATTTCATTTGCGACCAGGAAAATCCATGGTTGTGATTGGCTGCCATGTATTTTAGTGTGCCATTTTATTGTGACTGTCCCAAGGACGTTTCTATGATGTATAAATAAACGAGAGTTGTGTGCTTGATTGTATTGTGCTTGTTGGGTGTTTGTAGAATATACTTTCTACGCTTACAAAGCCTTTTGCCTTCAGTTTGGGATTCAAGGTAGCCTATCTGGACGCTGGTTCATTGTCTCATTCGCGTTTATCGACGACTAAGGTGAACTCGTAATAGCTTCCTTTAAGCGTTCGTACCTAGTGATGAACTTATCAAATACACTATTTATTAACATATCATACAGAAATCTAACACTCCTGACTGACAAATTAAACATAACTTACTTGTTGAGTGTATTTTTGATAATTTGGATGAAAATTATGTATAGCATCATTGAACATATCTTTCGGATTGAATGTATCACGTAAACTACGTAAAGAATCCGACGAAGGAAGAAATCCACCTGAAGAAAAAAATGTTTTAGGAGTTAAGCAAAATATCCACGAGAAATAGATAATAAACTACTGGGGACAGCCAAGTAATTTCCACAACAACGATAGAATGTAGGGCTTTACAATCTCATAACACACGTGAGTTCAGATTACTTTTTGGTGAATCACATTGAGCTTATATACATGTCGTATCCAGAGTAGGTCTGATATGCAGAGTCTTCTATAACTACCCTACACAACAATGCAAGCATGTTAGGGATGCGGTTATCCTCTACAAATATGTAAAATTTTGCTTCATAATTGGCTTGCACCTGAACTAATGATAGGGAGTGAAGAAGTCAAACGTGTAGACCGCTTCACTTATCTTGGGAGCCTCATCAGTGTTGATGGCCTGATGCGTGAGGAAATCTCAGCGCAGATAAAAAAAGGCTCGACTGGCTCTTCCAAATTTACACCATTTATGGCGTAGGCGAAATATCCGTCTGCTAACCAAAGGACGAGTCTACTATGCAGCAGTTTGCTCCGTCTTACTTTATGGCTGTGAAACATGGCCAGACAGAGTAGAAGATATTAGTAGGTTGCTTGTTTTCGAGCATAGGTGTCTCCGAAGCATTGCTCGTATATCGTGGGACAACCGAGTAAGCAATGCTACAGTTAAGAAACGACTATTAGGTAAAGATGGCAGATCAATAGATGAAATAGTGAAACTTCATCATTTGAGGTGGTTGGGACATGTGTTGCGTATGCCTAACCACCGACCACCTCGTCGAGCTATGTTTTGTGGTGTAGGAGTAGGTTGGACGAAAGCTAGGGTCGGCCAAACCAAAACATGGCAGAAATCCATGAAGTCAAAGACAAGTGGACTGAGTTATGTTGGTAGATGTAGGCTACCTGGTTGGGGTCCGCGAAACGAAAGTCACCAATGGTTAGAGATCTTAAACGACATGGCTCAGAATCGTTTGCAATGGTGCAGGTGCATCCACTCTCTTTGTGTGCTTTTTAATTCTTAACTTCTGAATTACTCATCATCTCCATCTTTCTCCTTCTAAATTTATCTTACTGAATTATACTTCTCGAATCATATCTTCGCTCCCTAAACTTCTCGATTACTGCTTATACTTCTACTATCGCTATCACTCTTGCATTTGAACAGACAGTTACGTCTCTGTGCTGACGTGGTATGGCAACCTGAACTGATTTACTTATGTACGAAGTTCTACGTTGTATCTGTCTGTCTGTCTATATTCATAGGTTATCAGTATTCGAATATAGAAGTCTTTGAAGCATTTCTGGTGTATTCTGCAACAACCGAGTAAACAATGCAACAGTTTTAGAAAAACGACTACTGGGTAAAGATGTCAAATCAATAGATGAAGTATTAAATCATCACAATGAACTTACGTTTCTTCGATTCAAGATAAACATCACTATTACCAACTACACCTCCAAGACTATCATAACCACTAGTAGTTGTATGTCCATTTGCAACTCCATCATCAGTATATAATTGTGAAGGAAAGGCAAAACGTAAAGCAATTGCAGCGATTAACATTTCCAAACAAATAAGGAAATTTTGTATACCTGCAGCAACTGTACCAGCATTGGTATTTGGTAAAGCCGGTAGAACTTCAGCTTTTTCAAGAATAGCTAGTATAACACCTTTTTTTAAACAGTGTGAATAATGATTAAAAAATACACACAGTAATTAGGATGTGTTTTTTTTAAAAGAAAGCAAATAAATTCTGAATATTAGGATGATAAATAAAAACATAGGTTGAAATAAATTTTGCACATCAATTCGAAAATAATTTAATTATGTAATTTTTAATTGACAAGTAATCGATTTACTACTGAAACAACTATTGAAATACAATTGAAAAATGAATGCGAACTATGAAGGAATAAATAAATGTTACATTATCAAAACACAGAGATATATATATTTGAATGAAGAATATTTTATTCAATGAATTCTGTTAGACGATATTCATCCAATATCCTAAGAGAATTATAGTTCTATACCTATTGGTTAATTCCTACTGGTCAATTTTATGGTTGTCCTAGATATCAATGTCAAGTGGATGTCCTGACTATCAATGTCACTTCAAATGTTACTTCCTATTGGTCGTCTTAACTGTCAATGTCACAGACTGCGATGCTGTTTCCTATTCAACCTAAATGTATAAATACGCATTATCTGTAACAGTTTATGACCACGAGCAGGGCTCGGTCCCGGATCCTAGTCCGGGATCCTGATTCTCTTCTGGATTCGCACCTCGTGCTTTCTGGATTCTTGTAGAATACATGTTCTACTTCATATCAAGTCTTCTTATATTTTTACTCAATATGGGGGGTTGGAATAATCGGATTTGAGTAGCATGTCATGTCACTGGATCCTCGATCCTCGCTCTCGTTTTCCGACTAAGGTAAACAACTCGTAATAGTTCAAGTTTATCAAGTTGACGTGTTTACGTGCAGCCGTAGCAAATTCTCTTCAGTTTCTGCAATTCAGTCAGTCAGTTATAACATAGAACTTTGTACGTACGCACATCAGTCCAAGTTGCCATAACACATTAGCACATAGACAGAATTATCAATTCAAATCCTATAGTAGCAGAGATGGTAGAAGTATTGGCGGTAATGGAGAAGATTAGGGTTCGAAGATATTATTCAAAGAGTATGATCTAGTGAAATAAATTTGCGAAGAGAAAGATAAAGCTGATGAGGAATTCAGAAGATTAGGATTTGAGAGAACACAAAGAATGGATGCGCCTGCGCCATTGCAAACGATTTTGAGCTATGTCGTTTAATGTCTCGAGTTAGTCATAGAAATATGACAGATGTTAGGGCGTGTACGAAGGATTTGATTGTGACCAATTTGAGTTTGTGTGCTGTTACGGGTATGAAGGCATATGTCACTTCCTAGCTGTTCATATAGTGGAAGGGTGTTTCTTGAGAAACCTGAAAAGGAAGGTAGATTAATGTCGGTCTTAACGACCTGGGAGCGTGACTGCAGAGTCCAAGAAACAACTGTTAGAGGCCGGTTGTGCACGCCCTTTTTACAGGAAGCTTTGGAAGTGTTAGCTCCGCTCTTGTTTAAAAGGCCTTACCGCTGGAAAACGGAAATCCGAGAGGTAGGGTGAGGTGTGACATTTTTAGGGTTGGCCTTTTCTAACCCCTTCCTTCCTTGTGACAAGATAGCATCGCTGGAGATGCTGGTTGTCAGAGGGAAACACCTTACTGCTATTACACCCCTCTACAGTCAGCAGTACGACCATGAGTTGCTAATTTTAGTCTCACCACTCTCCAATCGACCTGCCTGGGATGATAGGATCCACAGGAACATATGTTCCAGCCAATATAGGCAAGCCCGACTACTACGTCAAGGTAGCAGCTACAGTCTGGATTTCTGCAATTATATCACCGGAAAAAATTGACTAGGTTTAAGGTAAAATGCATTGTTTAAAATCACATCATGTAAATTTAGGATCGTTTGTACTATCAAATAAAATTGCGTAATTTTTTAGATGACTTATATGCCATGTTAACTTGTATAAGTATGTACGTTAAAAAATATAATCATGAAATCATTGATCAGTAGAAAATATTTCATTCCATATAGGATTAACAATTTAACAATTCAATGATGAGTTTCATCGAATGTTTTCATGGAACACTATATCGTGGTATAAAGTTATCTGAATTCAATGAGAAATCCCAGTTTTTTTTTGACGGATATTACTTCGACTATTTAAAGAACTTCGAGTCAAACCCATTGACTTATGCCGATACCATGATCAGTTTGCACTAATTGGGCTAATAGTATTTAGCTGTTTACTGTCTTGACACCTTTGTTCAAACACACTAAAAGACGTACACGAGTTCAAAAATTTATTCTAAGAACTTTGATCAACATAACTTGCTCCATGAGAGCAGTCGAAGCGATCAATATAAAACGAGGTGACCATTCTAGGTTATTCAACTTTTAGCCTGTGTCAGCCACCATTGAGAACATGCACCAGCCCAATCACTCTTGATGGAGATGCCATGGAGGACGTTAACACCTTTACATATCTGGGCAGCATCATCGACAACCAACCGATGCAGATGTGAGGGCGAGGATCGGCAAAGCAAGGGCTGCATTTCTACAATTGAAAAATATCTGGAATTCCAAACAACTTTCAACCAAAACCAAAATCAGGATTTTCAATACAAATGTCAAGACAGTTCTACTATATGGAGCGAAAACTTGGAGAACTACCAAAGCCATCATCCAGAAGATTCAAGTATTCATTAACAGTTGTCTACTCAAAATACTTCGTATTCGTTGGGCAGACACTATCACCAACAATCAACTGTGGGAAAGAACAAACCAGATTGCAGTGGAGGAAGAAATCAGGAAGAAGCGGTGGAAGTGGATAGGACACACACTACGAAAAGCACCGGACTGCGTCACAGGACAAGCCCTTTCTTGGAACCCTCAAGGCGAGAGGGTAAGAGGAATGCCAAGGAACACATTACGCCGAGAAATAGAGAAAGATATGAGAGGAATGAACAAAAATCGGAGAGAACTGGAAAGGGAAGCCCAACACAGAGTTGGTTGGAGAAAACTGGTGGGCGGCCTATGCTCCATTGGGGGTAACGGGCGTAAGTAAGTAAGCCACCATTGAGTACGTAGAAAACGCTAACCGTAGCTTCCCAAAGTTGATTGTTCTATGTAAACTACGGATTGATATATTTCACTGGCATTGCACTACCTCTGAATTGTAAGTACAAAGCTAAGGAAATGAGTGTACAGCCCGACCTAAGTACTTTCCTCTTTAGCTCTTTTTGTGAATAGGAATATCTAAAAAAGTCTCTTTCATCTTTACTTTGTTCTACAGATGTAAACTTGATGCCCGAGTATACTTCATAAAATTGCCTAAGATTCGCTAATAGCATTTCGATAGTAACACATTTGTAACATCGATTTGAATTGTAATTTCCATGAATGGGATATTTGTGAAGAATAATGTCACACTGAAAGATACCATCATTTGTTCTAATAGTAGTTGTATTTTGATACTCTCAACATATTGGGATGTCCCCCCCCCTAACACAATGTTTTACAAGCTTATTGTCAAGTGGTTTGAATATGATTGCCAACCATTTAACTGTGACTGTGATGTGAAGAGTTATATATATCTAAAATTAGTCTCAATAAAAATACTAGGTTTATGAACCTTCATCAATCCATAGAATCTTGATAGATGAGTTTTCAATGGTTTGGTTATTTCTTTTGACAATCACAGAGGAATCAGTTTAGCTAAATTAGTGTCTAAAATAGTATCTTCAATAATACTTCAAAGCCTAACTAAAATTCTTGAAGAACAAACTCGAGAAGACTAGTCTTGAGCCAGGTTATTGTATAGACCACATATTCACACTTCGGCTGGTTCTAAAACAGAAACACACATTTCGGTATCTGAAAATAGTTGTATTCCTTAACCTTAAGGTGACTTTTGACTCGGTTGATAATGAGATTCCGTGACAGTGTACAGTAACCTTGTAACAGGCTCTCTACTCTAACACTACTAGTCGAGTTAGAGTTTATGATAAACTGTCACCGAAATTGATAACTTTAAGTGGTTTTCGCCAAAGTTATCCACGTTCCTCATTTTTATTTAACATTGTCATGGATAACGATTTCGTCATCTGACTTTACAGAGGTTGACCTTTTACCAAGAGATATACTTATTGATATAGTCTTATGAAGACGCTGACAAAATGTAGATTATTCTAACCGCCTTAAGCAACAATACAAGTATATTTGGAATACGATTCTCTTCCTTCCAATGTAAAATGTTGCTAAATCATTGGCTTGCATCAACTCCAGAATTACTGATAGACGGAGTGAAGTTTCAAGTTTCAATAAAAATTTTTAGACAAACACCATTGAAAATGACTTGACAATTGTTTTACTATACACAGTTATATTCAATGAACTTATTTCCTCTTTCCTTAAATGTAAACTTGAACTAGGCTGCTAAGTGGATAACGTTGAAAATGTTATCCAGCAAGACCCCTGGAAGCAGCATCAGGGCTACCGGATACACGAAGAGTAAATCGAGCTGCTTCTTTATTTTGACATGGTGTGGCCAAGTGTATGACGCGACTCGGATCCTGAATGCGCGTTTCCGAGACGCAACATACATCGATGGCACGAGATTCTAAAGTCCTAGCTAAGGAAGTCTGTTGCCCTATTTGACACAATGTCCGTACATTAAATTCTCCAACATGTAGTCTAGAGCGAGGTTTAAGGAGACCAGGAACGACGTTTCGCGAACTCGTATCGTCTGCATTAGCTGTGCACTGTGATGAGTGAATGTGAGAAGAGTTAGTCGTGGAGATAAGAGAGGTATTAGGGGGTGTAGGAAGGATTTGATTTTTGACCAATTTGGTCTCGCGTGCTGTTATGGCTATGAGGGCGGTTGTCACTTCCCGGCTGCCCACACCGAGGAAGGTTGTTTCTTGAGGAACCTGAAAAGGAAGATAGATTAGTGTTGGTGCGTGACCGCAGAGCCCAAGGGACAACTGCTTGA